AGCTTTCATGAACGTGTGACAAGGCTCTCGTGCTGTGCCTTGTGTCTTGTGTTTGCTTCTCTACCTGCTGTATCTGCTCAAGGCCAATGGGCTCTTATAGGCTCCCTTGCCATCTTGTGGCAACATGCTGCAGTAATGCCTAGTATAGCAGTGACCTGGGGAAAGCTGTAGGTCTGTCTACTCCTGACACAAGTATAACTCGCATCAACCTTTAAAAAAATTTAAATAAAAATTACACTTGCATTAAGAGCACACACCAACTGCAGATGCTTCCTCAGCCTGATGAAGGGGTTTTATACCTGAAAGCTTGCAACGAAGAATTTTTCCAACTATTGGAGTTGGTCAAATAAAAAATATCATATTTACCCAAAGAACCTTGTCTGCTTGCATTAAGGTGTCATATGTCCCGCCTCTTGGGCAAGTTGGATGTAGTCCCATTCAAACTAAACAAACATAAACCAGGGAAGTGGTGGTGAAAAAGGATCTCAAAATCCCAAGGTTCTGTTTTTGGGTCTGTATTCCCTTTTTGCCCAGAGCCTCCTCTCCGTTTTACCCATCTTTACACTGGTAAAACCCCAGATTTGTTCTAATGTTACCAAGAGAAAAAAAGTGACCTTTGTGCGCAGCTGTAATTCTGTCTCTGCTCATTGTTCTACCCTGATTCTCTACCTGTTGGACTGGTTTGGAAATGGATGTAAAATGCCTTGCTAGAAATCTCTCACCTGATGTAAGATTTTGTTTTACAGCCTATATTTGCTGCCCTACATTACAACCCTTTCTAGTGAGTTGGGAGAGCATTCCTGTGCTATAAGACTTCATAGAAATATAGAGAAATAGGGCTGGAAGGGCCTACAGAGGTCACATCTAGTCCAACCCCCTGCCTCAGGCAGGATCAGCTCTGTCCAAACCATCCCATACAAATCCATAATCTAAACTCTTAGTAAAACTCCGTCAACCCTGACACAACCACAAGGTATAACACCCTAATATGGCACAGGTAAAGCAGGGGGACCATGGTGGCCAATGTCCTCCTGCTGCAAGATTGTTAAAATATACTTGAGAGGTCCAAGGGAGAGGGCTGTGTCCCCTACTACAGAGTAAGACAAATCCCCCCACAGTCCGTACCAATCTGACCCTGGGGTAAAATTATTTCCTGACCTCAAATCTGGCATTCAGTCTGACCCTTAACAGACAGGCAAGACCCTCTATCCAAGAGCCTGTGGACTTAAGTCCCTACAGAAACATTAGCACACCCCAGTCAAAATCCCCAGCCTTGGCTGCGGCCAACACCTAATGCCTTTGAGGAAGACTTAAAAAAACCCTGACACGTAATAGCAGGAAGGGAAAATAATCCCTCCCAGCTCCATGGGGCAAATCCCAGAAACCTGGGAAATACCCTTTGTAGAGCACAGGAATAGTGACTCCTCGATCATCTGAACCAATGCCTGTCCCACCTCTTCTTGAACCCCTCCAATGATGGAGAGTTCACAACTCCTCTAGGCAGTCTATTCTACTGCCTCACTGTTTTTTGTCTGCAGCGATCCATATATACCTCTTTGGAGATGATCTGTAAGGTCCCTTCCAGCCCCTAACAACTATGAAAAATCTGTGCATAGTAACTAAAAAGGCATCCCAGCCATGCCAGTCTCTGGAACTGCTTCAGACTGCCATGCCAATGCGGCACTGACTGCTTGCACCACTTGTGTTAGCAGCAGAGGTATTTGCCGAGGACTGAACCTGCTCCCGCTGTGTTCTTCAGTCAAGCTGCCCCCACCCAGACAGCAGCTGCTGCCTGGGATCTGGAGCAACAAAGGAGTTGAGGAAGAGCTTGCCATAGAGGTTAGACACCAGCAAGCTATCTCACAGGCTCACTGAATTAGACAAACTGAACTGTTCAGTGTAATACAGTCTTCTTACAGGGATACAGTTTGTAGCCGTGTTGGTCTAAGGACATAAGCAACAAGGTTCTTTGGTTAAATCTGATATCTTTTATTAGACCAACTCAAATAGTTGAAAAAATTCTTCTGTGCAAGCTTTGGGGTATAAATACCCTTTGTCAGGGTGAGGAAGCATCTGCAGTTGCTGGGTGCTCTTCCCTGAAGATGATGTGCTCTTCCCCACACCAACTGCAGATGCTTCCTCAGCCTGACGAAGGGTATTTATACCCCAAAGCTTGCAAAAAACAATGTCCAACTATTTGAGTTGGTTTAATGAAAGATATCAGATATACCCATACAATCTTCTTTGTGCATGAGATTGCCTCCCTCTAGTGGCTGGCTTTGGGCATTATAGCATTGGAGTGTTTGCAGCTGTGACGGTCCAGGAAACACGATACGGACCCAAACTTGTGTCTGAAAGCTTCTCTACCATCTCTCCTAGCTCTACAGTTGGTTCAATAAAAGATATCACTAAAAAGGGAAATTTTGCTCCTAGCAATTATAATAGCCTGTTGCTGAGGAACAGTTAAGTGGGCCTTTTTATTAGCTCTCCAGGTAGAAGTTTATGCTCTCGGTATGGGCTTGACCCTTACTGGTAAAATCAGTATCTTTCTGAATGCTCTAATTCAGTATCTAATTCAGTTTTTATACTAGTAGAGTTGTGCTATTAAGCATGAACTATTTTTACCACTACAGCTACACTAAGGTGCAATCCTTAATGTAAGGCACCTTTATCCTATTATGGAAAGAGGAACGGTGATGTAAATGTGCTTCACTTCTGTGCATAGAAATGAGAGAAAGGGGATTTGAATCAGGCCCAGGGATGGAAGGGATGCCATCGTAGCGGGCAAAATGAGTTGTGCTAAGGTTTTTAGATAGAGTCCAGGCCTTCCCAGAACTAAGCATTAAAATTGCAAAGGGTGCCTTATAAGGTACCAGAAGTGGAGTTTTCTGCTCCCTGAGCCAAACTCTGCTCTTCATAAGGTCTTGCATTGTGCTCTTCTCCGCAGGATCTTGGGTTAAGATACTGAACGCATCCTGTTAATAAACAAAGCGATGATTATGTACTCGACAAGAGCCCTCACACCCCCTTGGACATTTGAACCTGTTTCTATTGGGAGGGGGATGCTTTTCGAATGAGCCAGACAAGTACCAGGAAGGATAAGTGAGAAAACTGTGAGGTCGGTGGGACATCATTTTAATTTTTGCTTTGTTTGCTGAGCAAATTATGAGCCCGGTTCTCTTCCTTGTAAAATCAATGAGGGCCTTAAATGTGATGCCATCAGACCACGTCCATGCTCCAAACTGTGCTGGGAAGGACCCCGGAGGAGGTAAACATGCAGTCAAATTTTAGCACTAAATCTAATACAAACTGATAAATTTACTAGAAGATGCAATTATACGAGACATTATTGTTCGAGCTCTTATGATACAACACGTAAAGTTAATTCAGCATGAGTGCAGTGAGTCTGCTGTTCTTGTAGCATCATTCAGTTTTGAGCAAAAGGTAGGGAAATAGCTACTCTTCTAACTTGGGAGAGGTTGATTCCTGGTTTTATGCGTATTTTGCTCAGATACGAATAGCTCCACAAGAAAAAAAAGCAGTAATAAAACAGGTTAAACGTTTGGAGGCTAAACAGGCCAACAAGATCTGAGCGTCTGGGACATCTCGAGTCCAAGGAACGTCTCGTAATCTGGGGTGGGAAAGACAGGTGACGGAAAAGGTTGCCGAGAAAACTGGTGAACTTTTCAAGGCAGGGAACATCCCCCTTTGCTTCCCAAGGACATTTTCATTCATCTGTGTAGTTGGTGCATGGAAAACTCTACTTGCTGCTAAACTTGGAAAGCAGAGCTCATCCCTCCAGCCCAGAAGTCAAATATTTTCCATTTAAGTTTGTGTAATGCTGGAAAGAGGAGGAAGTAAGGCAATTATTTGATTTCTAGAAGGCAATTTTGACTTGGGGGTTTATTATAGTGATGGGGCCAGTAGGATTGTGCTTGATTAAGCACGTTGCTACTGATGATCCTCTGGATCACGGTGTACACGTAAGAGGGCTAGTCAGGTGCCTGATGAATCTGCTTGTACCGAGTCCTGAGATCATCACACCAAGACCTCCGACACATACACCGAGGCAAGGGCATGGAGGCAGACTGAGACCTACCACCCCCCTCTTTACACCACTGAGACCATTGACCCCCCAGCTCCATGGCCCCTCCTGTCTACGCTCCTCCCCCTCGGCCCCTCCCGATCCTTGCCCCCCGCCGAGCCCGATTGTTCCCCAACGCGGAGGCGGAACCCCCGTGTCGCGGCTCCTGCCCGTAACGTCACTTCCGGTGAGGGCTGACGCCGCGGGAGGGTGGGCACCGCCCTCACTCCGCTGCTCGCGGCGGG